GCACCTCCTCCGTTCACAATAGAAGCTACAGACGGATTCATTATTTCAAGCTCAACCATGCATTGCAATTGATCATCTAGCACTAAATATGTTTCTCTTTTAATTAGAAAAAGCAATTAGGAGGTCTCGCTTCTCCACTACCTTGTGCTGATTTGGCATTTGGTGAGATCGGGAGGGATGGCCGGGTGCAGAAATTGATCGTGGTTGATCCCAAAACATAAACCACTAAAACTTCCATGTATTGGCAGAATAAAAAATAGATAATAATGAAAAAAAATATTTTGACCGAATTGAGATATCTACTCTACTATTTTTACCACAAACATTTGCTTTTACTTTACACAATTCCTTGTTGTTAATGTCAGTAGTTTTTGATGAGTTAGTAATCTTTATGTTTGCGCCTTTCACACACCAGAGTCACAAAACGCTTTACAATTGTGAGCATTTGTCTCTTACTCTACTTTTGATGGGAGTGGGGTCGCTGTACATATTTTCAGTGGTAGGGGAAACCGTACCTTCTTGACACAAGCGCTAACCGCTGCGCCACTGCCGCCCAAAATTCTGTTTAATTTTATTCCTGACTTTTTTTTTTTTTTTTTTTTCAAGCACATTTTGTAATTTTGGTAAAAACAAATGACTCACTTCATTTTAAAACAAATTAACGAAACCCAAGCTGTGTCTTGTAACTCGTCAGAAATAGAGCACACATGGAAATAAATCCATCCTCTACATATAATGAGATATGTTTTTCCTGACAGAAAAGTCTCCTGAACAAATCAGACCACAGAACTTGCCAGAAAGAGTCACTATTTTACCAATATTCATCGACTTTGGGCTCTCCCTATGGACCAATTCATATGTTTTCTGTATGTTTTGTGTCTTAACTAGATTCTCTGGGATGTTGTGATTTAGGGCTATATTATATTTGACACTTGGCGTGAAAGCTGATTGGCTGAGTCAGAGTGGTCAATGAAACAAATCAATTTAATTGTCTTTATACATGTACTGTACTTGAGGGGTAGTTTTGAATTTAAGGATACTTTTATTTCAGGTTTTAGTACTCTGTTCAAACAAACATGCTTAAATTCTGACTGTAACTTGCACAATTACAGTAAGTCAGCAAGGAATGTTTGCTTGTATAGCACTTACAACTCATACAAAGGTCAACTCACAGTGCTTTACAAAACATAAAACAAGAAAAACATAAATGATAATAATAATAATGATATTATATGATATGTGTAATGTAAATCAAAGGAAAAAACAGCAAAACAGAACAGCTTTAACCTGGACATTATCAGAAAGACTGCTCCAGATTTTAGCTGCATATAACTGAACTGCTGCCTCCCCATGTTTTGTCCTGACTCTGGGCACCCTCCCAGAGCACAGTCCCTGTGCTCCTCAGAGTCCAAGTTGGTTCACAACAAATGCATGTATGCATTTGTTGTCACAACTGATTCTATTGGTGATGTGACTGTATGGTATAGAATATTGGTACATGTGTATTGTCTTGTCAACAAACTTAATAATACCATTCAATATCCTCAACTAAAGCCATATTGTTCCTTGTTATTTGAGTTGACGTTGTGATGGTAGAAGTGACCTCAAACTCTTTTATTTACTGGTGTTTACACTTTTCTGCACGCTGTTGGCCCCTGACACTGTGAAAGAGTCAAATTCAAAGGACAAATTTCTCTTTAGGGACAATAAAGTCTGCTTTAACCTTATGTTACTGCGCACTCACGTTGGAACTAAAGTTACACCACAAATGTGTTCAGAACAAACCTTTTGCAACTCCCAAACGAGATCCAAATGTAATGGCTTATAAATAAATAACTTTTCCACAGCGGCCCAATGAAATATATATAGTTTAGTTTAGTTAAGTTTATTTCTTATTTGGTGTCTTGCACCGAAAGATGCCCAGCCCGTATGGGCTTATAAGACACAAAGATGTAGGCAGACATCAGAAAAACATAAAACAAAGAGTGTCCTCTTCCGTTGGAGCCATTCACTTAACAAAAACTTAGACAAATGAAATGGCTTATACTTGAACAGAAACTTCAGCCTCATCGGACAGTTCAAACAACAGCAACATCAGACAGTTAACAGAGTAATTGACTTCTCAGATCATTATACAAAGGACAATATAACACAAAATGCAATTCATTTTCATTTAAGTTACACAAACAATATGTCCGCTCCTCCTCTGGGACCGAGTGAAATCGACCAGACCTCAGCACAGACTGACCTCTGACCTCTGGTCAGGTTCAGGGTCACATAGGGCTCAGGACCAAAATTATCTTTTATCAAAACATAAGTTCTCAGCTTTGGCTTACTCAAGACATTTACAGTATGTTTATACTTTTCAAAATAAACTTTTTACATTTCTACAACATCACCTCTTAACTTGTAAACTGGAGGTCAGCTTCAACAAAAATGTTCTCCATCTGCACACTCCGAACATGTCTATTAGACAGGTCCCATTTAAGTGTGTGCGTATGCGTGTGCGTGCTGTATATATATGTGTGTGTGTATATATATATACAGTATATGTATGTTTATACAAAGAGGACAAAAGCAACGCAGGTTCAGTGTTTTGGAGATTAGTTGCATCGAGGAGAGTCGGGCCTGGGGCGGCATCATTTATAAATACCTTATATACCATGTTGTACAAAACAAAGTGCTCTCCTGTGCTGCCATCATGGCGGAAAACTGTAAATTGAGGAAATGAGCAATAAGATGCGGTATAGTGGAGCTCATTAATCACACTGGAGTCCATGTTATAGGAGAAAAACATGGACTTTCATTTTCACTTTTGAGGATGTTTATAATCAGTTTGTTTGGTACTGTATGTTATCATAAAAGATTAAACTTAAGTTAGTTATAAAATAATACATGTATCACCCAAGCAACTGTTCACTTAGTCTTACTTCTTCCCACTCCATTTCAGGTCCTTATAGGGGTTAAGAGGAAATCTATATATTCATGTCAAACAACCTGAAAAACACTAAAAAGGTTTTAGTGAGTGAAGCAAATCAACAACGATACAATTCACAAATATAATGATTTTATTGTGACCATAGTGATACATATGTTTTACCATCGCCATATACACAAAGAGGTTGTTACTATGCTTGAATATGAATTATGAAATATGATATTGATGATCAGGAATTATACAAAAATATTAGCATTCAATGTTCTTCATAGAAAAATCACAGTTTTGAAAACATGTTGTGCTTTGATACAATACTGTAAGCTTTATTTAGAGCAAAATCAAATAAAATTTTGGTTCATGTTGGTCCAGTAGTAGTGATGCATGTTTGAAAAGATAAATCCATATTTAAAAGATAAATCAATATTGTGCTATAGTATACAAATTTGGCACTAGACTTTCAATCTGACCAAGACAGAAACATTAATGCATGAAAAAGATTTATTTGATTGGCGCATTGACCCCGGCAGTGACACTTGCAGAGGGGAGATCGTCTGCTGCTGTAGATGATCTCAGACCCCCCGGGGTCAAGCACTGGTGGTGGCTAGAAGCATGGTGTGAATGGGGCGGAGCAGGAGCCAGGGCAGGAGCCAGAGCGGAAACCCGAGTAGGAACCAGGAGCTGAGGAGGCGCTGGGGAGGTGGTGGGTGTTAAGAGCTTCAGGAAGCGCTGTTTGTCGGGGAGTGGCTGCTTTTAAACTGCCTGCTTTGCTGTCAGAGGGTTGGCAAGAGGCTGGGCGGGCTGTGTGATTGGCACAGGCTCGAGGCTGGCAGCGCTGTGCGATTAGCAGGCCCTGGGCGGTCTTTCAGTCTGAATTTGCGCTTTCAGCTTCATTTTGGAAATGAAAATATCACAAACCTAATTAAAAAATATACCTAAACTCTTCCTTTGTTTTGAGTAATCCCTGAACGACTGATCTTAAACCGTTCAGACGTAAACTAGTATCTTTGTACTTGCAGCAAATGATAACTTAAACAACATTCCAATGTCACATAGTTGTATGCATTTATAATTATCTTGTGGCGTTGTGGCTTGTAGTAACTTGTGCTTAAAGTTGCATGTTTGAAAAAATGATAACCAAAATAATAATTTCAACTTAATGGGTTTTGTGTCATGATAATCTTTTCATGACTGCTGTGTATTTAGTTGTAATTGTCCTTAACGATCTCCCCCTGCACTTTTACAAATGTGTTAATAAAATGATCTGTGTGAGGTGCATGGTCTGTACTTACTGTATTGTTCAGTCTCACTTGATTTCCTGAACAGACCTCCAGGGCACGACTTTGTGAAACGTGACCCACTCCCTCCACCATAGTATTATTTTAATGATGCCACAGTATTTCAGCCATTGAATGACTAGAAGGCACTGATTATATATCTGTGCAAAACGTCCCTGATTATACACCAAAGTAATTGTCTAGTGCCATCCTGTCTCTGCAGCTTCAACTTCAACAACTAAGATGAAAGCTATTTTTTGCATTGAATTGTCGTCTGTAGCGTTAATGGAATAAGGCCAACTGTAGAGCGAGGACGAAATGGCTTCTTGTGAAAGTAAGGGTAGGAGAAAACAAGGACTTTTTCCTGAGTTCATCTTTCATGTATGAAGGGAGACTTTTTATGCAAATTATTCGCTTTTAACCACATTACAGCATTGTTCCCTCATCAAAAACAGACCTGGAGCTGTTATTAGATCCATCCATGCTAATGATAGGATCTACTGGTATAAACTAACCCTTACCCTTATTTACAATATCCTGTCTCAGCACTGTAATAATGTTATGTATTTGCACCACGTCACACAGCAGTTTTGTTTGTATTTTTATACAAAAGTAGTGTCCATAAAAAAATATATATTTCCCTCTAAAATAGGCAATTATTAGGGTTCTAATGTGTATGAAAAACTCTGGTAAGGGTGCAATTGGTGAAAGTGATGCAAAATGTGTCTTCTTTAATGTGAATTACGGAGACGTTGTAATGCTAAGAATTTTGGTCCTTCTTCTTCCAGCGCTCCGCCGGTGATATCATGATCAGGAACATTCAGCTGAGGCATGCTGGGAAATACACATGTGCCGTTCAAACCAAAGTGGACAGCGTGTCAATAGCTACAGATGTGGTTGTTCGAGGTAAGGCCTTAAAACGATTTAACACAACAATAACATCAGATGAGAGGAGGCTCCTTTTGGTTGTCCTTAGGCAAACCCCATTGGCAGCCCCCTTTCCATCATTCCATCCTAGTGGGGCTCTGACTGATGGAAAATCAGTCACAATATGTCTGGTGTGTGTGTGAATGGTTGGTGGTGGTTGCAGGAGCCGATGGCACATACTGTTTGCCTCGCTTTTGTCAGTGTGCCCCAGGGCAGCCGTGGCTTAGGTAGTTTATCACCACCGTGTATGGAGTGAATTAATAATGTCATGTGAAACATCTTTGATTGTCCAGAAAAGTGCTTTATAAAACCAATGCATTATTTGTATTATTATTATTGTATCCTAGTTGGGCTATTGCCGGAGTATGAAAGGTCGGGCAGCAACACATCTACCACATAAACAGAAGGATTACAAACTGAAAATCCAATAGGACGTACAGAATAAGTTGGTCTAATCTCAATCAATAAGTCTAGTGAAAATAAACACCTTGATTGATTGATAGTGCTAATATAGTTAACCTTCAAAATGTTGTGTTTGTCCTAACTGGTTCATATATGCATTTCTCATGAAGAGATTTCATTGATTCAGATTTCAACAAGCCTGTGGAGCCATGAGCCATAAGCTGACATTTCACTCCTAATGTATGATCTCCTCACATCAACAAATACCATTTAATTATTTAAGTCTTTCTGAACGAAACATTTATCCCATGCTGTGGGACTGCTTTCTGATGAGTTAAAAATTATGTTTTTCATAATTTACTGTAGCCAGATTACGACCATTATAAAGTGAATTATTCCGTATATGAATTGGTGCTATCTGTGCTATCTCTCAATTCCATTATTGAGAGTTCTTCTCAAATAGTGGGGCACACCCCCCTGATGCAGGAGGGTGCACGTGTGTGATCTTGGGCAACATGCTTTTATTTGCTGTACTTGAATAAATTGTAATTGCGCATCCATTACAGTAGTTAAAGGTAAAGGTGCACTTTATTAATCCCCGTAGGACAATTCATCCTCTGCATTTGACCCATCTTGATGCCGTTAAAGCCTAGTGTATAGTCGCGCCCTCAAAAATGTCTAACTACGCAGCCGGCTCCGCAGAGAAGCTCCACTGTGATTGGTCCGTTTGTGTGTTTTGGACGGAAGCATGGAGCGGCTGCGGGGAACATGGATGAGGCACTTCGGAGCAGATAGCTTCGTGCTTCGAAGGAACCAAAGGAAAAGTAGTCTGGGTTTATGGCTCAGAGCCTGATATATGCGGAGACTGGACTGTTCAGTTCTGTTGCATATCAAACTTATAAACTGTACAGTCGTTACTGTCTTTATTCACAGCATCACAGTTGAAATGACTTATGAAACAATGAGTCCATAGAACTATCACATAAGCCTACATTAGATACACATGTAATGATCTCAAACAGCTTGGTTTGCTAATGTTTTTGTTCTGAAGAGGAGAAAGTAGAATCAGAATCAGAATCATTTTTATTGCCACGTAAGTAACAGGAGGTCACAGACTAGGAAATTGCTTTGGCTCAGTGCAACAGTCAAAAAGAGATAATAAAAATAAGAATAAAAAACACTTCTAAAGAATAAATTTAAATTTAAAATAGAGTTACAGTTACTATTTACAATATACAAGTGCACATGGTGCACACAATGTAAGGTGACAGCAGTACAGTGAAGTAAAGTGACGTATGATGGGCAGTAAAGTGACTTTATAAAGGGCGGGGGGACAGGTTAAGAAGTGTTCAAGAGTCCAACAGCAGAGGGGAAGAAACTGTTCTTGTGGCGGGAGGTTCTAGTCCTGATGGACCGCAGCCTCCTGCCTGAGGGGAGTGGTTGGAATAGTCCATGTGCAGGGTGAGAGGGGTCGGCTGTGATACGACCAGCCCGGCCTCGAGCTCGGGCGACGTACAGGTCCTGCAGCGATGGAAGGCTGCGGCCGATCACTTCCTCTGCAGAGCGCACAATGCGCTGTAGTCTCTGTTTGTCCCTGACTGTGGCTCCAGCGAACCACACGGTGACGGAGGAGGTGAGGATGGACTCGATGATGGCCGTGTAGAACTGCACCAACATCTGTGCAGGCAGCTTGGCTTTCCTGAGCTGCCGCAGGAAGTACATCCTCTGCTGGGCCTTCTTGATGAGGGAGCTGATGGTCGGCTCCCACTTGAGGTCCTGGGTGATGGTGGTGCCCAGGAAACGGAAGGACTCCAGTGTTTCCCACAGGTTTGAAGGCAATGTGTGGTGGTCGTCGGGGGGGGGGGGGGGCTGGTCGGCCGGCAAAAATTAACAATGACATCGTTAATTGGTCAAATACAGCTTTATTGGACTGATCAAAATATCAAACATTATTCACACGCTGTATATTACACTATAAATACTGTTAACGCTGTATAAACCTACTTGTTGCAAAAAATAACATTATTCACACGCTGTATAAACACTATATTACACTATAAATACTGTTAACGCTGTATAAACCTACTTGTTGCAAAGTTTGCATGTTTTATCAGAGCACCTGATTTTTCGGGGCTGGCGAAAAAAAGATTTTAATGCCATATCATAAGGGAAGTCCTCAGGACAGGGTCCATTGATGGAGATCCTCAAGCAAGCTGCCAGGTGTTCTCCTTGCAGTTTGTTCCTGAGGTCTGTTTTCACCTGGAGATAAAGCAAAATGATAAATTATTATCAATGCAAAATGCACCAATATAAAGACAATGGGAATTTTTTATTGCTATTACCCTGTTCATTGCAGAGAAATCCCGTTCACAGTTCACAGAGGAAACAGGGATAACCAAAGCAATGCTTGCCAGAAGGCTCAGGCAGGGGTAGAGGTTGGCCCACTCATCAAACTCACTTGCCAGTAAACACAAGAGCTCCTCCTGGTTCTTGTTCTTGAAAGATAAGGGTTTGTCGTGGCATTAGTGTGTGTGTGTGTGTGTGTGTGTGTGTGTCAGGTCAATTCACTGACCTTGAATATAATATTGAATATAATCAATTCTATCTCGTTCTCTCCCTGACCCTGTCTTTCTGCTTGAGCAGCACTGGTTGAAGCCTGAAAATATTGTAAACAACTTATATAGCTAATTACACTGCGGACTGTTTCAGACCGATACCTCTGGTTCAGGCTGATCCTCATCCTCAACGCGTGTCTTTTTCAATCGCGGAAAATATTGTTCAATACTCATCTGGATTGAAGCAGCAAACATTCAGTGTAAGAGTAAAAAAATGACATAACGTTACTTATAACTTTATTTCTTGCTACAGCTGCTACATAGTGTTTTGACCCCGACAACCCAACTACATACCGCAAACTTGCGACTAATTAACTTTATAAAGAAAGCGTCATCGCTTGTTAAGGGAGTCGGGACGGAAATTCAACATTGACACTGAACATTCAGCACTTTTTAATGTGTGATTTACGAGATCACGGGATACCAACCTTTAGTGAACTTCACCAGCCGTCTTCTCTGCACCAAAATTAATAGACACAGCTGCTTACAGCGATGATCGCTGATGGAGACGGAGACACGCGGTGTGCACGAAGGGGAGGGGCTGTGTGTGTGTAGGTCTCTGTATGTGGGAGAGACGCGTAGCTTGAGTAAGAGTTACGAAGGGCCGCCACATTTTAAACCCCCCTCCCCGCTGTCAAATTGACCGCTGCGGTGGCACTAGACGATGCATGTTTTAAATAGCGTAACAAAAAAAATATATATATAATAATAAGAAACGCAATTTGTGGCGGGCGGTCTCTAATCTGTGGCGGTGCGCCACAGATTAGTCTATGTGTGGGAAACACTGGACTCCACAGAGGTGATGGGTGAGTCCATCACGGAGGGTGGGGGCGGGGGGACAGTGCTCTTCCTGAAGTCCACAATCATCTCCACTGTCTTCTGGGCGTTCAGCTCCAGGTTGTTACCACTGCACCAGGACACCAGCCGGTCAGAAGCGTAAATGGGACCGCTTTGGTTTCCCAGGCAACTCCTGTGAGATCGTCGCCATGTGGTTTGTTGTGGGATTACAAAATTCTCTTCAAAACTCTGCAAGGACAACGCGCGAGTGTACCAGCAACTGTGGCTGCGTAGGTCCACCGCAACCGCAACCGCAACCAGTGCTGCGCGAGTATACACTAGGCTTAAGGCTTACGTCAGGAGCAGTGGTCGCCGTAGTACAGCACTCGGGAACCCATCTCCAGATGTTGACGCTCGGCTAGGTCAGGACTACCAGAGCTGGAGAATTGTACCTAGTGTTGACAGTAGCCGTTCTTGTTGTCTGAGTTACAGTCTGTGGGAGGTGGGAGCAGTCCTTCTATAAATAGGGGGGGAACACACAAGACTGTGGGGAACTTGTTGTTTGTTGCTGTATGTCTTCAAACAGGATTCCACATCCTCCGGTGCCCCAGTGCTCTGATCCCTGGAGCAATTACTGCCACATTGTAGTGAATGACCGCAGTTCCCGCGTACAGTGCCTGTGAAGCTGCTTTGATAACAGCGGCGCGGCCAAAGCGAAGTCATGTGACCAGTGCGGACAGGACAAGTGCGGATCTTTGCGCTAGAGCCCTGCACGGGCCTATTATCTGGGCCCGAGCCCGGCCCGGCCCGATATGGTTTCTGAATTTTCAGGCCCGAAACCCGCATCAAGCCCGACTTTTTGTTTTGTTTTTGTAACCTCCCATAACAATGTTTTAGCGTAGTATATAGTGCCGCGCACTGATATGAACGAAGACTTAGCTAGAGGGCGGAGTTATACATGGTAGTGATGTGTTGCAATGAGTTCTGTGTGTGCGGAGTGGTGCAGAGTGAACGGCCGCATCTGTATGATACACAGATGCTGCAACACACCTGTAAGTAACGCTATGTGCCGTCAATGACAACACTACACAGAACAACAAACACTACAGCGTGATAGAACGCTATATTCAGTGGGTGCGTTCGTAAATGTATTCTGCCGCTCTGAAAATGAAGAGCCCGAGCCCG